ATATGTTGATGTCTATGCATTGGTACATACATGTACAATATTATATAAGCGAATCATTGTACATGATAATAAAATTTGTGTGTACACGTGGACATTATATGGTTGTACACATTTTGAAACTGCCAAAATTATCCAATTAGATAGTGTGATATTATGGTAATGTGTACACATATTTCTGCTATATCACATTTAAGTTAAAGTACACATCCTAAAATTTGTAGACCCATATGAATAATGTTATGTTGTAAGAATGTATATATATTGCTATACACTTCAAAGAAGAATATTTGAATCATGTCATATATTACTCAAATCATATATAGATGAGATCTGATTCATTACCATAATATCACACTATCTAACTGGATAATTTTGCTAGTTTCAAAATATGTACAACCATATAATGTACAAGAAAAAACGTTAAGGATCAAAAATGCACAACTAATAAGTTTTAGATTTAGAAAAAATTATACAAAACATTAAGGACCAAAGTGCAAAAAACTTAGACTAACCATTGATGTTCTCAAGCTTCTACTGTGTCGTGACAGTGAAAGAATGAATGAATCAACATGTTGGAGGAGATGACAAAAAAAACTACGACACATCCGAGATTCGGTGAAGTAGGTAGAAGATAAGAAGCTTTTACACAGATCTGAGTTTCTGTCAAGTGACGATTGTCCAGCTTCTGCATCTTCATCTTCTTTAATAATTAAAACCATTATAGCAGAGAAAGAAAAGTTTAAAACCATATATATCAACATTTTGTTTACCAGCGACCACTCAATTTCTTCATCTTAATCTTTTTAATCTTTAAAACAAGTATAACAGAAAGAGAGAGAAAACTATCTTTATGTTACAGACAAAGAAAAGAAAAATAAAATTAAAAATTGTAAAATCATTTAATTTCAAGAATGCACGTGGTTAGAAAATAGTTAGGATAGTTACCTTGTAGTTTTAATAAAGTACCTTAGGAGCAACAACCGCTCTAGAATATAATAAAAAACTTGAAACTGCCCTATAATGAAAATAACTCTAAGAAAAACAAGGCACATGGCCGCCTATGATCTAGTATGGCCGAATGGGCCTAATGCCCAATGATTTGGTTATGGGTCATCCATTAAATGGTTTATAACAGTTGGTTCATCTAAATATATAATAAGTTTTTATTACACTAATCATAAATTAATTATTAATGTTATTCATTGTTTCTTAAATAAAAATAACGGAATTTCCAAATATGGCTAAAGTATATATGAAAATTAATGATTTTTCAACAATAAATATTTGATTAAAATTAGTATATTCTTTATTTTTCTAAAGAAAATTAACTTATTAAAAATAAAATAAACAACCACATTAACTATATAATAAAAATTTAGATTGTTTTTCATATATTATATATTAAATTTTTTAAAACGACTAAAAATAACTAAAGTTGTTAAAATCTCACACTGAATTTTTCTAATCCATGGTTTAAAATTTATGTATAACAAAATATAAATAATTAAAAAGTTTTGTTATAAGAATATATAAATGATCAAAAAACAATATAAGTATAAACTATAATTTAACAGATATCAATATTAAAAATATACTATATTTCTATGTTAATATCATTTAAACTTGATTATATACCATATAAAATAGAAAAGGTGTTGAATTAATAAAAATTATTTATGTGTTTACACCAATTTAATCATATACGTAATAGTTACTGAATTTTTAAATACTAATATATATTTATTATTTCATAATATGTAAAATAATATATAATACGTAAAAATAATTTATATCATATTCATTCTTCGTAAGGCTCTTACGCGGATCTTAACCTAGTTTTATAATAAAATGTATACATAATGTCCAATAATATTTGAATACAAATAGAAAATAGTCCATTGCATAACATTATTTGTAGAATATGTTTCGGACTTTAAATAATGTTACTAGATTTTGACCCGCCCTTAAAGAGGGCGAGACAACCGTTTTTGCTTTAAATTTATGCCATTGTTTGATTATTCACGAGTATGTATAGACATGAGTATCCGGGTTCAGATAGATTGTCGTTAATAATTTTGGTTTGGTCCAACATATATAGATTAAATACGATTAAAAACGATTACATACAATTTAATGCATAGTATAAGATTGATTTTTCTTATTCGTTTTAGTTAGATAACAAATTTTAGGGACCCGATGAAATTATGAGTTCTATTCGATAATCTAAAGTATTGATTTGTAATAGTTTATATTTTGAGTTCAAACTTATTTTTTATAAAATAAATAAATAATTTTAGGGTACTATTATAAACAATTTGGTTGATATTATTGTCATATAAAATAAATAGACATACAACCGACTGTTTATTTTAAAAATTTGTTTAAAAAATATGATTAACAAAACAATTATATAAGAAAATAACATAAAAATTCAAAATATAACTGCGAATGATTATTGCAAGCCCATAAATAAATCAATACATCATATTAACGACCCAAGCCCAACACAAATATACAGACAATATCTCTTTAATATATCTTGGACATGCGACTACCACATATCTTTTCAAGAGCGGGATATATTTTCTTTATAAATTGATTTATAAGAAACACAGATTTGATAATTATAAAATTACATGTGTTGAAATTTTGCAACTTAATACATTTATAATTGTGTTGAGCAGTGTTTTCATACCCGACACGGGTTTGAGATTGAGCAACTAAACTTATATATATTTCGGTTCGGATTTAACTAATTCACCGCTATTTAAAATTTTGATACAACTTGGTAAGAATCCAAAATCCGTTAGTAACATGTCACCTGTCACTGATTGACCCGTGTAAAACTAAGATAAAATTGGTGATCTAAAAAATTGATCAAACTTTTATATATTTTAAAATGAGTACATGAAATTGAATAGTATATTTGATTTGTGATTATTTACTAAAAGAAGTACTATGTTGTCTGATAAAAATAAAAGAGAAAGGCGATAGAGAACACCAAAATATATTACTCGTTTTCAGTATTATTTAATTTTTATTATTGATAATATGATCGCTATTATTACTTAAATTTTATTTTTTTATGATCGCTATTATTTACTTGGTAGAAACCTTGATGTAGAAGGAATATGTTAGATATGGTTTTATGTTTATTAAAAATTGGTTGACATATTCATTTCGAACTTTTACATTCAAAAAACATTTTATGCATAAAACTTTAATTAGTTAACAACACACACACACATACACACACACACACACACACACACATATATATATATTGAAAGAATCATAATTTGGTGTATTTATTTGATTTTAATTGTAACCAACAAAATTAAGAAGTTTAATTATAAAAACTTTATTTTATGATGTGAAATATTTATTGTTACTTGATAAACAAATATTCACTTTCTAAAATAAATACTCCAAATAATATATGCTTTCAATCAAAGATGCATTTAATAAAAAATAGTATTTGTTAGGTTAATTAATAGGGAGGAAAATAGTGAAACCTAGTAATGATTTACATAAACATAATTTTATGTTCTCTTTTAAATTCATACCTTATTGAATTTTTACATATTTGTATCTTGTTTATTGTGTTTAGAATCCATTTATAAACTATAAGATTGTACTTTTTTATCATCGTTTTATTCATTTTAGTTAGTAAAGTAAACATTAAAGTGTAATCTATTAGAGTTTTAAGTATATTTAGTGGGTTTTATGAAATTAAAATATGAGTATTGGAATTTAAAGTGAATATAAAGTTCAAATTTTACATTGGTATTTCATAAACATTTGAACTATTAAAACATGAATATAAATTTGAAATTGACACTGACTACTAAAAGCAACTTACACTTTAGAAATTAAATTTTGCCACCGAGAATAACATAAATCTTTCAATCTATCATTAATGTCAATTTATCACAAATTAAAAAAACTCACTCGATATATGTACCAATAATCATTGATTTACTCTTAAATCAGTCCAATAATCTTTCAATCTATCATTAATGTCAATTTATCACAAATTAAAAAACCCATTCGTTATTTATACCAATAATCATTGGTTTACTCTTAAACCAGCTCAATTCTATAGATAGACCCAATTAGCATTTTACTCTTGTCTACTTTTCTTCTGCGGCTAAAATTTCATTTTTTAACATGGCTAGAATTTCATTTATCTGCATAAAAAGGTTGACATCTATTAATAACCCGAGTGTGCTATAATCAAGTGCATAGAATTATGTTTGTAAGTCTTTGGTTTTGTGTATACATTCAGTTGTCAAATTTGTATTCGGTTTTGTGTATAGTAGTAGTATATATGTTTAATCATTAACCAAACCAAACAATCGTTTGGGAAAATACAAAATATAGTAGTATACATACAACTTTAATTAAGTCAACAAAATATCGTATTGTCTAACAAAATACCCGACATTAACTATATTTCTAAAACATTTGCGTGAGATGTATGTGGAATATTGGTAATATATTCAATTGAAAAAGTATCCTTTATATACCTAAGAGTTTAGGAATATTGATTTTGTAGTTTAAATCAATGACATAATATTTTTATTAAAATTAAAATGGAGAGATAATCAAGGATATTTTGNTTGTCTAACAAAATACCCGACATTAACTATATTTCTAAAACATTTGCGTGAGATGTATGTGGAATATTGGTAATATATTCAATTGAAAAAGTATCCTTTATATACCTAAGAGTTTAGGAATATTGATTTTGTAGTTTAAATCAATGACATAATATTTTTATTAAAATTAAAATGGAGAGATAATCAAGGATATTTTGTTAGAAAAAGATTTGGTGGAAAAATAATAGATAAAAACTATAGTTTAAATAATGCAATGGCAAAGATCTGTAAATACTTCCAAAAAGCAAGGGGACTTAAAAAAAGGGTCTTGTGTTTTAATAGTATAGATGCGATGAACCTTGTGTAATAAAAATGAAACTGGTCGAATTAATAATTAATGAATATGTGGAGAGAAAAATACGAATAAATGTTTATGCGTGTGACTACCGTCAGATTAATTTATAGTTAATCCAACGGTTGTGAATGAACATCAATAGTGACGTGTGAACAAACAGAGAGTAAACTCTAGGTTTAAGCACAACACGTAACTCACGAGACAAGAGGAGAGAAAGATGGGGATATCAGGTTCAAAGCGAGTCAAGACGAGTCTATCCAACTCGCCCGAGTTCCACTCGGCTTGTGACTCAGCATACGAGGAGTCTCTTTCTCTCGCTCAGCATGCTTTCTCCGGAGTTCGTCCCTACCAACTCCTCACCGCCGCCGCCCACATCCACCGGAACTTGTCTTCTTTCCCTCTAATCATCAAGTGGGTCCCTTCTCCTCCGAGTCAATCCCAAGTCGACTCAGCTCTCCGAGTCATCACCTCCCGAGTCACGGCAGATGAGGAGGAGGTTCTCGGGCCGGAGAAGTTCAAGGAATGGGCCATCGAGGTTTTCACGGGATCCATTGTGGGAAACGCGAGGAAAGCGATAGCGAGTAGGATTCCGTTAGGAATCGCCGGAATAGCTGGGATCGGAGCGGTGACTCGGTCAGGACAGAACCTGATCGGAGCAGCGATTGGTGTGTACGCAGTTGGAGTTGCAACTTCGGTTTTTCTCAGCCTCTCTGACTAGAAAAAAACATTAGTACTTATGTTCTTCACATGTAGTTCTGCTTCAGCAAGTGTAAGGGGATTTTCTTTGTAAACTGGTTTTGCAAGTGAATTGAGTTCGTTAATGAACCAAGTGATTGTTGTCTTTAAAACTTGTAGAGATCTGTACCCTAGATTCTTAGCAATAATCTTTTGCAGCATGTTTGTAACATTTAATTACATAGACTTTGTAAAATAAATATGATATGTAATACATTATGTAAACTGTGACCATACTATGGTATAATCTTCTTCTTTTTTTGTGACCATACTATGGTATAATCTTCTTCTTTTTTTGTCGGCAATATGGTAGTACTGATTTTAAATAGGGCTTATTTGTCAAATAGTTAGTAAAAAAAAGAAAATTAAATTTTTAGAAGAGAAATAGGAAGAAAGAAGGGGAGAGAGTATTATTTTGGCTACTTAGCACGCAGCTATCCACCGTGGCTACATCACCTACTCAATTTGGAGGCTCCACAAGAAGGGGTTAGGTGAGGTCTCTTTCATTTTTCTTGGTGTCTATTGACATCTCATCACACTTGTTTTTGTTTTTGGTCATTGTTGTAAACTTCTTAAGGATGGTTAAAACAGTGTTATAAAAAAAAAAGCTAATAATAGGTTTTTGTGTGGTTATAGGGTCCAATTTCTCTTTTAAATAAGAGACACGGTTTAACACATGGGTTTGGCTGTTCTTATTTTGCAGATTTCATTGTCTTTAATAAGGTTTTAGTTCTATCATTTGATCATTTTAGACCCTGGGTTTTGCTAGAGATTAGCATAATTATTCTTTTTGGTCCGTTGTTAGTACCAAGTACGCAACTTAAAAAGAATCTCAATGTATGATTTCAAATTTTTGAATAGCTTTTTCTTTCTGGTGAACAAAAATTTTGAATAGCTAAAAGCCTAAAAAAGTATTGAACTCTAAAGTAGCATTAATATATTGATCTAATTCCACTACATTCTTTTTTTTTTTTTTTTTATTTTAAAAAAAAAAAAAAAAAAAAAAAAAAAAAAAAAAAAAAAAATTCCACTACATTCGTATCTTCCTTTGTGTCTCCACAACAAGAACCTCTCTTTTTGTTTTGGCCAAAACTTAAAAACTCTGACCAAATTCCACTACATTCTTTGGTCTTAATTGTTCTCAGGACTAATTTCATAGCCATATTTCACACAAGACCAAAAAAAATAAAGTAATGGACAAACTCATGAGCCGCATAGATTATTGGTATATAGTGGCTACAGTTTTGAATTATTAAGAATTTGAGATGTTGAATTATTGACAAAAAAAAAACAAATAGTGGAGATTCCTTTTTGATATACTCTATCGACTAATCTTGTCTACTCCAGGAAAAAATGCATTTAGTGTTATAGAATGAGTTGCCTACCACATTACCTGATCCGAGAGTGGAGAATTCAGTTTTATGTTTTTAATAATTGACAAAAGATCTCTTCCCCCGTTTTGTTCATACCTTTTTCTTTGTGCAACTTGTAAACTACTACGTGAAAAACGTTTTACCTTTACAGCAATTTTTGATTTTATCAAATCCACAACGGGCCCTTGAATATTTGTTTTTCTATTTTGGCTCCGAATATTTGATTAGTATTAATAATTTACTATACGAATTTTGAAAAAGCATCCTAACTATTTGACATTACTATAAATATCAGTGGCTGATACATCCCAAAAGGGCAAAATAAACATTAATATCATAAGCAAAGGAAAATGAAGTCTGTATCTATATTCCTTGTGTTATTTGTTTTCTTCCTGGTCGTTCTTGATAAGTATCTATTACATGAACCACATACGAAACTACTACTTTTATAATCCATAAATTAATTACACTATGCAGAGTCGGCGCCAGAGAAGATAGAAGCCGGCACAAAGTTCAAATGCGTGGAGGAGTACGGCGGAAAAACAGGCACGTTGTGTAGCCCTAAGTTCTTCCCAACGCTGTGCCGTCAAAACTGCCGGTTTATGAAAGGTGCGAAGAACGGTATATGTGTAAAGAAACACAAGCATACCAAATGCTACTGCGACTTTTGCAAAGACGGTTAGATTTTCAAGAACGCATCAACTTATGGTTTCAGCTTCAACGCATATATCATTATAAAATAAGAGTTTACTGCCCCCTAAGCTTATCTATTTCCATAAAATTAATAAATGTATAATGTGCTCCATGTAATAATAATGCCAATATTTTCATCGACCGTCAACTACTATCACTTCGTTTGTATGTGTTGTACCATTGTATCACTTCATGTATGTTTGGGTTATAAATTTATAACTACCCATTTGCTAAAATAACCGTTTTCTTTTTATGAAGTTTAGAGTGGTTTCTTTCTCATCAAGTTTATGGTCACTATTATGGATGTACGTGCCCTAAACTTAGCATTAATCATCTTCCTCAACTTATTCGTTGATTTAACACCCCTAACGAAAAATCAGATTGTAAACAATATGCCTAAAACTTACATGTAGATTAAATCCTAGCCGAGTACTCTGGCGAACTGTAATCAACATTTAGGCTTAGAGAGAGATTAAATCAATGACATAAATTATTCTTCAATTAATTAGCAGCTACGGACGGCTATTCATAATCTATTACATATCACAAATCTAAGAGGAATATGTAACTGTTTGGGTATTCCAGAGAGCTTAGGGGATCAAAAATTCAGATTTTTTGGTTTCTTAAATAAGCGTGCTAACAATAAAGTTAATAGCTGGACAGTTCGTTTTCTCACAAAAGGAAGGAAGAAAGTTTTGATTAAATCAGTGGTTTCTCCGATCTCAACACCTGTAATGTCCTATTTTAAGCTTCCTAAAAGGGTCACCAAGAAGATAACGAGTACTATGGCGCATTTTGGTGGAGTGGTAGTGGTAACAAGAAAGGTATACATTGGTTTTCCTGGGATAAAGTATGTACCCATAAGGATATGGGAAGACTAAGCTTTAGAGATCTTCAAGATTTTAACACATCACTCCTAGCTAAACAATTATGGCGGTTGATAGATAAACCCAATTGTTTATTTTCAAAGGTTCTCAAGGGAAGATATATTTGCAATACCGATCCTTTGGAGGATCACAAATCTTATTCCTCCTCTTATGGGTGGAGAAGCATTTGTTCAGCTCAATCTCTGGTTAAAAAAGAGCTAATCAAAAGATTTGGAACGGGACGTCGATCTCAATGTGGAATGACCCCTGGATTCCCGCTCCTCGCCCGAAGTCAGCAACACCAAAAAATCAAATTCAATCTTTGAATCCATCTTTAATGGTGGAACATCTTATCAATCTGGTTGATCATTCTTGGAATGTAGATCTGCTCAATGCATACATACATCCAGACGATGTCAAAGTTATTCAAAGGTATGGCAGTTAGTAAACATCTGAGGCCCGATTATGTTGGATGGAGCTTTACCGAATCTGGTAGATATTCAGTTAAGTCAGGTTTTAAAGTGGAGTCATTGTACCCAGATAGAGGTAATGTGGCACCCATCTTTGGTCCAAATATTAAACCATTATTAGCATATGCATGGAAACTAAAGTGTTCGCCGAAGTTGAGACATTTTGTGTGGAAAGTATTATCAGGTACCTTACCGATATCAAGGAACCTCAAGACTTGAGGAATTAATTGTGACTTACAGTGCAATATATGCGGGGCAGAGGAGGAGTCCACTCATCACGTTCTTTTCTAATGCCCACCACCGCTTCAAACTTGGGCTTTATCTAGGGTCCCTTTCCCTCCTCTTCTATTTTCACGAGTATGGATTATATATTTATTTTGGAGACTTACGAATGACAGATATTTTAACTACTTCACATAGATATTATGGTATATTTGGAAAAAACAAAATGATAAGGTTTATAAAAATAAAAATGGGAATCCAGAGGAAATTCTTCGTATGGCAGAAGTGGAAAACGATATTTGGGCAAAAGCGCAATTATCGGTCAATGGATATCAAAGGGATGCACAACAACAGATGTCTGAAACAGATGGGTTATCGATAATACACGCAAAAGTGTGTTATATTGATGGTTCTTGGAGAGAGAATGATAAATTTACTGGCCAAGAATGGTTTTACCGAAATGAAGATTCGACAGGAGTTATGATGGGGGCCATGAATCTCAGACGAAGTCTATCACCATTACATTCTGAATGTGAAGATCTGATTTTGGAAATGGAATGCATGAAGACCCTACAGTTCTCTGATGTAGTCTTTGCAACAAATTGTTCTCAGTTGGTGAAGATGGTGTCGACACCCGAAGAATGACCAGCATTTTCTACACATTTGCAAGAATTCACACGCAGTAAGATGTTCTTCCCCAACTTCCAAATCAGACATATTCCAAGAGCACAAAACACTATGGCGGATGAGCTTGCACGTGGTGCGAGAAGTTCTCCTTCAGCTATGTTCTATGTCGATTCAACACCTCCGGCTTGGATGTCCAGCCCGCAAAGTGTAGTTAGTTAGAGTTACCCTTGTTGTTAAAAAAATGTGGTTTACCATTGCTTACTCTTGATCACCTCTGCTTCAAATAGGTTCTCGAAGCTTTTAAAAAAAGTGTTTTGGTTTTCACGTAGCAATGTGTTAAGCGATATCAAAGTTAAATGGTGCTAGTAATTTAAACTATAGAGTGTCATATCAATTCTTTTTGGTCGGTTGTTAGTTTATTATTCGTTTTAACCTATACTAATCTTATAAAATATATTAGAGTTTGACCCGCACGTCCGTCGGAAATTTATTTTCATTTTTATATATACAAATATTATTTAAATGTTTATTAGTTAATATTTTAAATATTTATCATATTTGATTTTTTTTATAAACATCATTGTGAAATAGTTTACATGTTGTAAATCAAAAATTGATCTATGCGCCATATTAAACTTTCGACAAACATTGAACATTTGATATGCTTAAGGAATATCTCTTTTAACATGAAATTGTTTCTCAAATATAATAATATTTTACCTATTTTGATTACATATGGATCATATGACGAGATTTAGATACATGAAAAAGGAATATTCCATTATAAAAAGTTAAATATTCCATTATAAACATCAAAAGATTTTATTTTTTAAAATATTTAGTGGTAATGGTCAAGCATAAAATTTTAAAATACATATATTTTTAACCTTGCAAACTAAAATGTTTTTAGTTTATATGATACTTGGAAAATGTTATCTTATATTATTAAAAACGTTTTTAAAATTGAATTTTCCTAAAATTTAGCTAAATTATTTTAAGAAATATCTTGATCAAAAATTTAGCTAAACTTGATTAGGAAATGATTTAATAAAATAGAAAAAAATAATGATTACTTAATGTTAGTGTTATCTGATACCTCAGTGACATAAACTTGTATATAAGCTGTAAATTGTAGGGTGAATTCATACTTGTATCTCTTTCTAATAATATAGATGGACAGCTAAAGGTATTAAGCTTCAAAGTACCATTACATCTTTTTAAATGAAAAAGTACCATCAACATCCAAAATATTGAATTAAAATAATCAAAATAAAATGGTTGTACAGATTTTTACAAAGGGGGCAGACAAAATAAAGTAATGGACTCATGAGTTTGAAATATAAAAAGTAGGGGAGCTTAAAAAATCACGTGAAAAATGTCTTTACCTATAAGGCAATCATCATGATTGTACAAATCTCCCTTGCTTCTTTTCTTTTTCTGATACGTCAAAATCTAGATGGACCATTCGTGTCTCGGATATTTTATTTGACAGTTATATTATTAAAAAATGTGTATGAAAAAGAGGTCCAATCATTTGTATGTCACTATAAACATTAGCGGCCTCCGATACAGTCTCCCAAATAAACAGTAAACAAAGCAAAATGAAGTCAGTTTACATCTTCATAGCGTTGTTCATCTTCTTCCTCGCCGTTCTAGGTGGTAAGTACATTATTACAAACTACAACTCTCAGAAGTTACAACTTATATAAGATTATTATAATTAACATGCAGAGTCTCCGGAGAAGATAGGAGCCGAGGAAAAGTTCAAATGCCTAGAAGAGTACGGCGGAGACGTGGGTCCCGCGTTTTGTAACCCTAAGTTCTCCCCCACATTATGTCGCCAAAACTGCAGGACTTTCAAAGGTGCTAAAGGCGGTAAATGCGTGAAGAAACACAAAGCCAAACCTATCAAATGCTTCTGCGACTACTGCAAAGACGATTAGATTACAAGTAATTACCCAACGCTTATTGCTGTATAAATCGCTAAAACACATGAGCCTAAGCGTTTTGTACTTTCATATAAGTTTTATAGTTGTATGGGATTGATGTAATAATGTCCCAAGTCGTCTAAGTATTACCCCCCCCCTCCCCTAATAAATGGTATACATATGCCAATTTATGATCCAATGATCCAGAGCTCGTATTGAATCCGAATTTGATTTGTTCCAGAGTTTTTTTACCATAGATTTTGCAAAATACAAATGAATATGCAGTACCCTCTACTATAGGGACTTTTAGCCAACTATATTAGAAGAGCAACTTCATCCATGGTATGAAGATGGGATTCTCAAAAAATAATTAATTGTTAATTAAAATAAAAGTGATTGATGAAATTCTAAATTTTTTAAATATCCATCCAAAGCGAATATTTAGAACTTATTGGATGGATGTCTTGTTCAAAAAAAAAAAAAAAATTGGATGGATGTCTAAGATTTTTAGAACCTCATCAATCACTTTTACTTTAATTAGTAACTAATCATTTTTTTTAGAATCTCATCCATGGTTGGATGAGGGTCCTCAACATCTCTAAATCTTACTCAAGGCTATTATTTTCTTTAGATTATATTGATACGTTTTCTAAAATAAAAGGCAATATCTTGATGATAATCATATTTAACAATTAAACATTTGCAAAGCTAATATTCTTCACTGAAATGAAGTAGAATGTGATAGAATCTTGTAAAGGTGTGATGCAGATTAAATCGAAACGTAGAGTTTACTCTTACTTTGATTCAGAGGTATGTAACAAATTTTGGTATGTTTATCAGTTCTTTTACCTAGTTTAAATACTGAAAATCTATGATGACTATTTACACTAGATAACAAAGATATACTAATCTAATTTGCAATGTAACAAAGAGAATATAAAGCAATGATGAGCTTCCTTTTAGTCCCATGCATAATGTACACGGCCTTGGAGGCGTTTTAGATTTTTGGTGGACCAAACTTTCGAGATAATGAGATATAACACAACTAGCAGTGGATGAGAGACGACGAATGAGATTTGCATGTGGATAATGTTTGAATAAGCTCTGGTCATAGTGACATACTAACACATTCACTTCATCAAAAAAAATATCTATAACTCTCATAGCTCATGGAATTTAGAACATTCATAGTGTCTCAAACTCGACAAAATGATGGGAATCTTATGTTACCAATACCAATCATCATCTTTCCTCAACTGGAGAAAACACTGTGAACATGAAGCAATAAAAAGGACTAGAGGAGAATAATTATTCGAGTGGTGAAGGTTACAATTGGTTTGAGAAGGTTACAATTGGTTTAAAGAGGAGAAGACCGTTGGGGGTTCTGGACAAAGCAGGTGCAAGTGGGTTGAGTTTTATATATTAAATCTCCTATCCTTGTAAGCCTGATTTGACTTTAAATACATGTTGTAAGCAACCTAAAAAAGTCAAGGAAACAGTTTTCCTCAGAATTAAATTCTCTTGTGTAACTCTCTCTCTCCTCTCTTCTCTCTCTCACGAAAATACTACCTTCTCTCCTCTGTTCTTGTTGTTCTTCCTTCTTCTCAAACAAACCAGTCTCTAAATACTCACATTTCAACATGGTATCAGAGCCACAAGGCTTCTGAACCTACTCTTTACTTCCGCAAAAGCAAAATCTCTGTTCTTACTTCATTTCCTTCCAAGATTCACTCTATTATCCATTGGTCAATAGCAGTGAAAGATGGAGAAAATGAAGCCTATTACCATCCCTGTGACTCTAAAAGGGATTAATTATCTCTTATGGTCCAGATTGGTGAAAACTGCCCTTGGTGGAAGAGGACTTTGGAGTCATGTAGCTTCTGGAGAAGTACCAAAGTCAACCACACAAGGAGAGGATGGAAAAGAGGTGGTAGTGACTGATGAAGATAAATGGGGTCAGGAGGATCTCTTAGTGCTGTCAGTCATTCAAAACTCTCTGGATCCAGCTATCTTGGAAGCTTATTCGTATTGTGAGAGCTCCAAAGAATTATGGGAAACTCTTAGTAAGGTTTATGGAAACATCTCCAATCTAACTCGAGTTTTTGAAGTTAAAAGGGCTATTAATGCTCTCAGCCAGGCTGATATGGAGTTTCAAGCTCACTTTGGCAAGTTCAGAT